AGGTTGATGAAAGTTCACAGTTGCCATTAACTAGAACTGCATGGGATGCAGCCTTAAGAGAGAACTCAAATAGTTGCTTGGGAGATTGGCTGCAGGAGGAGTTGTTTTAATCTAATTGTGATCTATGTGTGAATTTGCAAATAAAGCAAATTTTATAAAGACTTCTTTAAGAATTTCATATGTTTTCATTCAAAAGAAAAATGAACAACACAGTCCTTTCTCTATACCTTCATGAGGTTTGTGGATGGAAAGATGTGTAACAATACCTATGCAACAAGAAATGCCTTTGAATGAAAATCTGGTGTATAGAAAGCCCCAGAGACCATAATTATATGACACAGTATTCAGTTATAAATATTTTAAGCCTTGATACTGCACTCCTTTGATTGTTTGCCTTTTGGAGGGGGGAAAGTTAATGCTTTTTGTAGAAATCTGGTCAACGATTCTGAGTATTCATGTCTGCTGTGTATCTCAAGCAGGTTAAATAAACGATCTAAGGCTGTTCTTCAGGCTGTGCACTGCTATCCAAGAAGGGAGCATCAGGGATTCTAGCCATACTGACAAAGAAGCCTCTTTGCTGCAAAAGGTCACAGTAGGTCATATAGTAAACTGTGACTTCTACAAAGGCTCATTCAGTGGTGTGAACCACTAGAAGATTCCAGTGTAGTTATTGATTGACATGCTCCCTGATGGTTTGGCTTTATCATTAACTTAACAGAAATGGTTCCTGTCTTATCTGTTACTCATCCCTGTGTTTTATATGATAATTCACCTATTAATACAGAGATTTGGTTTGCAAAAAGATCCTGGTGGAAACGTAAGGGAAGGAGATTCACACTCCATGAAGAACATGAAACAATCTAATAAAAAAGGAAAAATGAGACCACACTAATGTTCAAGTGATTCTTAAAATATACAATGTGTAATAAATATGGCATACATGTTATTTGGCATAAGAATTTTGTATATCTGAATACTTTTATAGATGTCACCCCTATCTGTCAGCTCTAACCTAGTTCCAAGGGTAAAGTCCTTATCCAAGCACATGAACCAAAGTTGGTTATAGCTCCTGGCAGTGCTTAAAACTACATTTCTTATAAAGGTTTAAAAAGTTGACCCTCTCCTCTATGCTAAGAAGATGGGAAATCTGATCAAACAACTGGACCTTTTTTATATAGCAAGAGAGAAATTATTAGCTCTCAAGATATTTTTGGAGTCCCACAATCCCTTACCATTGGCCATGCTGAATGGGGTTATTGAAAACAGCTGGTCCCAAAATCTAGAGCATCTCTCAACCACTGGATTATCAAAGAAACAATTTTTTTTAAAAAAAATAATTGTAATCAGTATAAGATACAATGATTTTGATGGTTTATAGGAAAATGGTCAAAGCTTGTTAATTTAAATGTAACAAATGTATCCATTTTATCATATTCCTTCCCTTCTTCCCCTTCTGTGTCTCTAAATAAGAAATCTGGGGGGGTGGGGGGGACTAGCACCTTGGACGAGATGTAGCCTTCAAAAAGACCGCATAAGTTAAAAACAGCATTGAATCTGTACGTGATAAAATAATGCAAAAAGGAGAGAGAATAGCAAGGAGGAAACAGAACTATTTTATATCATTTGGCTTCATAAATTGCATTTGATCATGGAAGATTAAAACAAAACAAAATCCTGAAGTCAAGAGCTTTTAGGTATATTTATGGCTGTGTAACAGTTCATACTAATTTAAAAATGGATCCAATACAGAACTGCATCAGAGTGGAAATTCAAGTCTGACGCTGCTTGATTTTACTTACCAAGTATCCTCATTATCTTCTCTTGCCTTCTTTCCCTGTTAGCAAGAGTTATGCGATGAAAGTGCTGAGATAAAGTAATGGTAAGGAGGATACCACAAGAGGTATTTGAAAAGCAGGAATAATTTACTATGTCTCTGCTTTGTTTTACTTCCCCGAGTCTTCCTGTGGTGAAAGCGAATTTATCTTTTCTGGCAGACTCTAGCCTTTTTAGACCTGAGAGCTCCCCAAGCACACTGGAGTGCAGGTAAATGGATGCAAGTCTCCATGAGTACAGTATTAGGAGGAAGGATTTAATGCAATATTTTGCTTAGTATATCATGTTCCAACTACCAATCACAGGGAGGAAAATTCAGAGTTGGAAGGGACACAAGGCCATGTAGCCCAACCCAATGTTCAGTGCCGGTTTCTTGCCATTACAGAGTCCATGCAGGCTTATTTACAAAAAAAAAAATGCATGCTGACTAGGGGATTCTGAAAGTTGTATGTACTTTTTTTTCCAAAATTCCAAACATTAATAACAACCATAATTGGAAATCCTTTCTTTTGAACATTTTTCTGGAATTTTACAGAATTATAACACTTCAATTAGGGCAAAACTATGGGTGTGATTCAAAGTATTGATCCATACAGAAAAACAACAACACAATAGTAGTTTTGGCAGTATATCCTAAAATGTTGAATAGATGTTAACTTGCAACAAGTTGGTGTAAAAGCACTAATAAACCAGTAAGAAATAAAATTTATAGCTTCTATTATAACAGACACAGGAAAAGTATGTCCATCAAATATCTGACGTGGCTCTGCTTAAAGTAACTGTAGTATTTCCCCTCACCCTTGTTGGTTTTAAGAAAGCTATGCTACGTCAGCTTAAAAAAGGAAATGAAAATGCCAAACTCAGTTTGGCAACCTAGAAAAGAAGACTATGGACCTTATCATACAACTCCTTTATGAAAGATAATTCCATTTGAAATCTGCTCCAGCCATTCATGTGAGGCTAGCAGATTGTTGATTCTTTCCACCATGCCCTTGTTGCATTTGCCCTTTAATAATGGCATTGATACTGTTTCTTCGTCCACATAAATGTTGTGCACCTTCAAGTTATTTCTGATTGATGGCAACTCTAAGACAAATCTGTCATGGGCAAGATTTGTTCAGAGAAAAGTTGCACTAGGCGATTCCCTTGGCCATATGGGGAATTGAACCTTGGTCTCCAGACTTCCAGTCCAACACTTAAACCACTGGACCACACTGGCTCATCATGATCGTGGATACGTATAATTTAGACGCATTGGAACTGATTTGTTATTATTGTGCGCCTTCAAAGTAATTTCTGTCTTATGTTAATCCTCAAATGACCCTATCACAGAGTTTTCTGAGACTGCGAGAGTGTGACTCTCTCAAAAATGGTTTTCATGACTCCATGTTGGCTTCCATATTAGGATTTATATCAATTTATTATGTAGTCTGATAACCAGTTCAGATACACTAAGATTGCCCTAACAAATTGCAGTCTGTCACATCATAAGTGAAAATTCAAAATCTAACTTTATACTCTCAGTAAGATCTAAAACAAGTATGATGGAATAAAATATGCAAACAATGCCAAAGTATTAATTTAAAACAAAAAGGCTTCCAGTTACAGTTGCAACCACCCTTCCCCACATAGCTACTGCTTCACTGAGGGGCAATATGGAAGTACAGAGGAACGCCCAATACTGTATTTGTTGCCTAGCCTTGTTACAGTCATCCAACACTGCTTTGCATAATTTTAAAATTAAATTAAATTAAAATCCATATGCCTAAACATCAAAATACACAAAGTGGTAGACACACCAACAACACTGTGTGAATATGACATTTATTGCTAGAAAAGTCACATTTATTTATTTATCATATCAGAAGTGAACCAAGGGTACAGTTGTAATGAGTTTAGAAACTTGGCATTATATTAAATGCCCTTTGACCAGTAGCTAACCACTTGGAGTGCCTCTGGTGTTGCTATAAGGAGGTCCTCCATTAGGCATGTGGCAGGGCTCAGACTGCATTGTAATAGGTGGTCTGTGGTTGCCCTCTCCACACTCACACCAGAAGCAACCAGAAAAGTCACATAAACCATTTATACTTTTAGGAAAAGAGTTGTCTCCAAGACTTGCTTATACTTGTATTGTTGGGGCCAAGTGTAGTACTGGAGGCATGTTCTAGAAATGTGGTGACAGCTATAGTTTCTGGCCATCAATATCTGATAAACCACAAATTTTAACCATTGAAGTTTTTGAACTAATTTCAAAGGAATTCTCACAAAATGTGCATGGCAAGGTAACAAGTACATGGATTCAAATGAACCAGATATGACTACAAGTCTGGGCTGATAGAAAACACACAGACATCCAGATGACTTCTCCCAGATACTTCAATATATTAAGAAGAACAAGCTTGAAACTTGAGATTAAAGATGGAAGAACAATTACCTGGTAATATCTTACATATCCTCAAGATGCTATATGCGCAGAACCTGGAGATGTTACTTATTTCTACAAATCCCAAAACAATGTAAATAAATCTTATTCCGGGAAATATAGTCCAAAACTGGATTCAGGGAATTGCAGTCCAAAAAAGTAAATTTTGCCAAGCCCTGGTGAAATTTGTGTGCAGATCATAAATCAACAATATAACACAAGAAGACATCAAACAAGAGAGTTGAAAATTAAGTAATTAATCAGGCAGAAATGCAACAATATCATAATAGATAGAATGATTTCATTCAACCTTTCCAATGTTTTAACAGAACAAAACAACCTTTCTTACAATGCCACTAAGAAGCCATTGCAGAACAAAATCAATTCAAGTTAACAATAGCCTGGATTTTTAAAATTATTTTTTCTTTTCAGATGAGCCCAATTATTTTCATTTTACAGTACAATATAACTGAAGTATGCAGCCCTTTTTGGGGGCAAGCCAGCCTAATTCAGAGTAATATTTTGGGATAAGGAAGCCTTGACAGCCCAGGAAGACAATATTCAACATTACAAACGCTTTCCTGTGAACATCGTCAATACGTTTGCAGCTGCAGCAGACCCATTCAGCTTATGTAGACTTTCATACGACAGTTCACACATGAAACCTCTCTCTTATAAGTCTTAAAGTGAGTATACTCAGCATTGCCTAGGACTCTTTTAGAGTCACCTGAGTGACCCTATTTACCTGGCTCCACTTCATGCCATCCACTTGACTGACTGCCACTTCCTGGAGACCGCCCTTGGCTTGTATAAAATGGCTCTTCACCCGGACTGTCCATTTCATCCTCTACAGATTTGAGGCGCTTTGTAGAGCTGAAATTGAAGGACAGATACATTATTACATCACCTGAAGTGAGAAGACAGGTCACACGGCCCTGGAGGTCTACAGAGCCAGACAACATTCTATTTTTGAAGAAAAGGTGAGGCAGACACTGTGCTTGCTTCCCTGTTCCGGCTCCTCTGACTGCCTTCTGAGATGCAAGCTGGCTTTTCCTTTATAATCTGGGCAAATAGTTATCAGATTTGTGTTAAATAAGGCTACACAACATTTTGAAAGTTGTCACAGAAAAAATAGGATATGCAAAATGAGTACTATAGGAAATGAGGAGAGAGGGGGAAAATCTGATATGAATTCTGATATAAAGCCTGCCTTGGGAGCCACTGAAACACTTTGATAATATTTATAATAGTAGTAAAGGAGAAGTATCCCTTAAAGCTTTCCACACAAAAAAAAAAGAAGAAGAAGAAAGAAAAAGAGGAAAAAAGAAGGAGACTAATCTCAAAGAAGAAGAGAATGATTCCCAAAATTTGATCTTGAAACCCAAAATCAGATTTTTTTTGGAACTTGAGCAATTCAGAAGGAAAACACAGATCATTACTTATCACTTGCCCATATACATTTCTCCCTCATGTAACATCCAGGCAAAGCCTGAAAGAAAAAGTCACTCTTATGCTGAGCTCTGAAGGTCAATCGACTTGGACTCTGGCAGGGGAATGTGGAGAACTGTGGAGCCAGAAGCCCTCAGCTTCTTGAACTATAGTAAGAGGAACTGACTGCATTGGGGAGGGGAAGATGTCCTATTGAATTCACTTTCCAAGGCAGGCTCAGCAAATACTACATCTATTATCAGCTTTAAGGGGTCTATTGCATATTTCTATGTATGACGGCAGTAGAAACTCACAAGGGTAAGCTGTCTGGCAAACTGTGGTGAGATGATGAAGACTATTTTCCATATCAGAAATCCAATGCACTGGGGAACTGATATCATTTTACACATATCTAAATCTTTATAGAGATAATTTACACCGGTTCTTCTTGAAATTTAGGATATTGTTTTTTAGTGTTTGAAAAGAGATCTTCTCAGAGCTGGGAAGAGCTCTTTTCCTGGAACTACAATTGCCAGGATCCCCAGCTAGCATGGCTCTCAAAAGATTACTTTTCAATTCCCTGGATCTTGGTAGAAGAAGATATGAAGACATGGGTGACTAATGCACAAGGAACAGGGATTTTTTTTAACATCCTCTATTACATTCTCTCTGCATTAGTCATTTTATTTTCTCACACTAACATAATCTGAATACAGTCAGTCCTCACTGACGTTAGAGCAGGCATGGGCAGACTTCGGCCCTTCGAGTGTTTTGGACTCCAACTCCCACAATTCCTAACAGCCTACCAACTGTTAGGAATTGTGAGAGTTGAAGTCCAAAACATCTGGAGGGCCGAAGTCTGCCCATGCCTAGGTTAAAGGCTTAAATCCTCACAGAAATGGAAAAAAAATGAATTGAAAATGCTGTTTTTTTTCCTTGAGAAAACACTCATCTATGCATCTCTAGGTCCTCTAGTTGACCATGGAAGTAAACTGGAGGACTTAGAGAGAGTTTTCTAGAGAGAACATTGTACTCAAATCTGCAAAAGTCAATCCACAAATGTGGAGGGCTGACTGTATTTTATCTTTAGGGGGAAACATAAATGTGTTATATTACATCAACATTCATTGCAAGTGTAAATATAAAGATGGCTTGTTGAACATTTGGTCCCCATATTTTTAAATTTGTTTCAGTCTCATGAACACTAGGCATTCCAGTCATAGATGAGCCATAGATTAGGAATACTAACATATCACAGTGCTAGAAAACCTCAACTTTGTTTCTGAAACATTTTAAATGTCAAGAGGAGACATTTTTTGCTTACAATATAATTACTGTCTTGGTTGTTCTATTCAACTTCAAAGCTAAGTAAATGTTAGTAAAATCAATTGAAACATATTTCCAAGTAAATATATTTAAGAGTGAGATATAAGTCTTTGATTTAAGGACTCTTTTTTGTCTAACAAGAAAGTAATATAATGTGAGGAAAAAAACAAACATGTTGCGCAGTTATTAACTACTGATGCTGTTTATAATTAGCTTCTTATCTGTATCATGTATTTGTGGAAGCATACAAGAGTGATATCTGAGCTTTACTTATAAGGAGCATTAATAATCTGTCTATTCTATCAGTCCTGAAGTAAACATAGCTTGTGAAGACTAAATCTAATGAATTACTCTTGTCCGTATAGTTTTCAGTGTACTTACCAAAAATAAAAAGCCAAAGAACGAATATCCTGATGAGTGCTTTATCTAATGATTAGTTTATTTGTCAAATAACAGAATGTTGACTGAGTACAAGTCACAGATATTGTCTGTGTCAGCACAGCTACTAGCCAAACAGCCACCATTCCAGATACATTTATGGAATGAAACAGTGAACTCCTCATATTAATTCAATGATTGAGTGGCTGGCATCCTGGGAAGCATCTACATTGGAGAATTGATGCAGTTTGACAGAACGTTAACTGTCATGGCTCAATACTATGGGATCAAAGGAGTAATAGTTTGACAAGGCTGACATTAGCATTCATTGCTAATGAGTGTTGGTGTCAACACCAAATCTTATAGGAATCAATTGCACTGTGCCATGGCATGGAAGTGGCATCAAATTGCATAAACTCTATAGTGTAGATGCACCTCGTGGTGGTACACCACAGCAAAACTATGATGGCATGGGCAGGAGCCACAGAAGGGAAAACAATGCAGGCATAATGGACATGAAGCAAGCAAAGCATTGGAGAAGCAGGCTGCCCGGAGTGGCAGATTTTGTCTGCTGCCACCATTCTGTAACCTGCAACTGCCAGCATACTTCACCCATATGATTCTGGCTACCATACCTAAAACCTCTTCAAGTGGGTTTGCAGAATCAGAAATACCAAATAAGGAAATACATTATTTCCAATGTATTCATTTTGAAAATAATGCAACTACAGTAACTACTGTAACTAGTCCAACTACAGTATCCACAGGGTCCCTTGGACACATGAACCTGCCGATAATAGTAAACCATATTAAAATGAATATCCTCCAGTCCATGCTGGAGGACCTAGAAAATTCCTGGAGAGGACATATTTTGTCAGATGTGGATAAATGAAACTGCTAATAAATAATTATGGGCTACAATGCCAATTTTCTGTACATAAAATAATATTTACTACTTACTTTTTATTATTATTTGGAAGGCTAAAATGTTTTCCTGGTAGGTTGTGAAGAGATTTTTTATAAATATTCTAGTATTTTAATTTTTTACCCCCATCCCTTATTCCCAGACTTTGTTGAAATCAATCTAAATCATAACAAATTACTTGAGTGGTGGGTGGGTTATATTATGGATTACTTTTTTTAAACTGTCTTTATAAGATTAATGCAGAACTCGGGAGAATGCACATGACATTTTATTACACATCACTTCAATATAGGAAGTGATATATAGGTAGTCTCTCTCTATCTCTCTCTCTCTCTCTCTGTGTCTGTGTGTGTGTGTCTGTATGACAGCATAAGGAAGGGTTAACACCCCTGTGGTGTTGGTTTTGCCATCTGTGCCCCTGTTCAAAAGATTTCACCTCACTTTCTGTCTGTCATAAATGAGTTTGGATATATTTGGCTTCTTGTGGAAATAAGGATTGGTAATAATGCTTCAGTTAAGACACCTTTTCCTCATGAAAACTCTTTCAGGAGTGAATTTCTCTCCCGAGGGGTAGAATTCTTTCACTTTCTCTTGTCTAACCACTGTTTGTAACTATGAGTCATTTGTAAGTCGGATGTTTGCAACTTGGGGACTGCCTGTTTTCTGACTATTTTGCTGAGTGCATCCATAACAAGAAGCCACAAGTTATAAGGATGTGATTACCTGTGTGTGTGTGTGCATATACTGTTACGGTTTGCGTATTATAGACATAATTTCTCTTACAGAGAAGTGACATTTCTGTAGGAAAAACGTGACTTGTGAAACAGCCCTATGATCAAAAGTAACCAGGTGAAACTGTTATGTCTTGTCATGTGTGTGAAGTATCTGATCCACTTTAAAGAAAAGGAAAAAAAATCAATTTGGATCATTACTAGGATTCAAAATGGCTACAGACTTTGAGCCTGTTTAAACATCGATTAGATTGGATTTGTGAAGAAAAGGCCATGGCATAAAGTAATAAAAAAATAAAGTATCCTTATCTTCAAATTGGTATCTAAACTGCAAAATCAAGAGGTACAGGAACCCAGATCAAAATAGTCACCTTTGTTGAGTCACTAAATTCCTACAGCTTTATTTTTCCAGTCAATTTCCAAAGGTCAGTTCCTCAAACCTACATCAGTGTCTTAGCTAATGCCGTTACAGATAGTACATACTGATTTATCTGAAGCCTGCTATTATTCCTACCTTTCCTACAATATTAGGAAACTTCTCTGTTCATACTAACAGAGAAGTTAGTATGAATTTACTAATAAACAGCAGTTTAAAGACATCATGTATTTCTTATACATATAATACAGGGACCTAATTCACATGTTATGGGTTTCTGCTATGTGAACAATTCTGCAAAAACACTGTCCCAACCTTTCCATTTTTCTTTTGCAGATGTGAGCAGGAAACAAACTTTATAGTGTTCCACATAAATCTGGTCTAAAATAGTGGGTTAATTCTGCATTGTTCTCTGTAGAGTTTGGTTTCTTCTCCCTAGAGTTTAATTCTTTGGTCTCACAAGTATTTAGGCCATCATCAGCTGCTTACCACTAGACATGTTGGGTGGGACAAATGACAATTCCTGGACAAACATCTGGAGGACCAAATGCCCTTCATCTCAAGTTTAAGCTAAGCAGGGTGGTTAGATATATACATTACAGTGAACTTCTGTATGTTTAAAACAGTGGTGTTTACTCTTTGGTCCTCCAGGTGTTTGGGACTCCAACTTCCAGAAGCCCTGACCAGCTTTTCCGATGGTAAGGAATTTTGGGAGCTTAAGTCCAAAACACCTGGAGGAACAAAGGTTGAACATGACTGGTTTAAAAAGTGTAATGGATGCTTCTAATCTCTTTCTTGCAGCTGCAAGAGAATAGCAGATGAAAGGGAGAATGCATGAGCCTGTTTGTGCAGCCTTATTTGTAAAGAAGGAAACCGCAGGTCAATGTTGTGAAATGCCCTTTAGTTGTTTCAGTATCGCTTGTGCCAACTGACATTGGCTTTTTAGGTATACATTATTTGCCAATGAATTTTTCTAACTGGAAATGCCAGGGATTAAACATGGAAACCTCAGCATCAGTAATGGTCAGCACATAACACTGAAGTCCATATTTTTGCTACCCCCAACTAGGCCACTGAATTTCAAGGGCTATCTGTACTACTGATGTTGATGGTGCAAAAATTAGCTATCATTCTATCTTGAAGATAAAATGATCTTCAATGAACAATAATAACAAATGTCCTTTGGAAGGCCCTCTTGTTGAAATGCTATCAGGCTTAGAGAACCAAGCATGAAATTAATGCTATACTATGATATTACTTACCACAACTATTAATAGATTGACCACTGCAGTGGCAGACTGTACACTGCTGTTGCACATTTTGTCAGCCAAGGAGACACCATAAAGACAAACCGTTTCTGTGTAGAAGAACAGCCTTCTGTTTTAGGTACTCTATTTGATTCCTCTTTATCTAGCCTTGATACAGCCCAATAGATTCTTCTAATAGGCTTACTGTTTGTGAACCATTACAGTTGAACGGCTGGCTGCTGTTCATCTGTGTGGCCTGTTCAGATCCCCAGACATGTTTGCACCTTCCTGGCCACCTGAGCAGCTGCATAAATTGAAAATTCCTGGATTAGACCCAATTTAATTTAGATGTGCAAATGGCACTGTGATTACTGCTTGAAACACAATGGTGTAGAGACAGTTCCATGTGGCCAGCCATTTGTGTGAACCAGCTTCCTGCATTATTCCAGCACTTTTAGCCATGCCAGTATGGACTCTGTGCTTTGTATGCACTGGGCCTTTGTCATTATATTGCCAATTTTCTTCATTTGCATTGGGTTACCTCCTTTCTTCTGGCCTTAAAAATATTCAGAATAATGATCCTTAACTCTGAATCCCAAACTAGTGTATTTTTAGCTACTTCTGTTCTAGTGATCTATATGATGTTTATTGACATCAGCTTTCAGCTAGAGAGAAAAAATCATTTTTTCTACAATTTCACAGAATTGCAAAGAATAAATAGTGTTTAGAGTGGCTGGTTAAAGTGAATGTTCCACTAAATTCTTAGAAAGCTTCAACGTCTCCAACAGAATACATCACACAACATGAGCAAAAAATGACAGCATTACTCATTTTGAAACATGTATCGGAAGTCAGAGGAATCTGAGTCATAACTAAAAAGCATGCATAGATTAAATTACCTGGTAGAGGAAGTGCTTGGTAAAGATCTTCTCATTGCTCCTGGGCTCATGCTATAGTATGAGGAACTTTCCAAATCTGAGAGTGAGAAATTAGGACCTGTTCCTGTAGTTATTGGTGCTAAAGAAACAAAGAAAAAGATAGAGAAGAAGCAGTCAGTAAGTCATGTGTAAAAGGTATAATTATATTTCAAATATTCACTTTCACCTTAATGACTTCCCCCAGCATGTAGATAGAAAGGTATGAGTTAATTGGCAGTGTAATCAGCAAGATTAAATGATCACTATGCTGCTTTATGATTAAGGTCTTTTTTGAAGGTCTTTTCTTGGTGGCTAAATCTTATTTTGTAACAATGTATTTCTGTGGTTTTTCCCTTAGAAACTAAAATAATATCATTTTTTCGTAGACTGTTTTCCCATGAATCGTAACAGTGGATAATTCAACAATGCTCTCTTGATTAGTTATTACTGTTTGATGTCTGATACACTTGAATGATCTTCCTTTCCTGATACAATTATTTGCAATGATTTTTAACAAATAGAATATCAAGTCCTTTCTCTGTTGTATTATTCTCCTGCCGTAAATAATATAGATCTGGTACCATTCACATGAGAAGTCAATAAATGACTTTATAGATAATAATTTTATTACAGAATAAACATGCAGTTGGATTCCTCTGAGGATTCCTACCATAGATGCAGGCAAAATGTCAGGAGAGAATGCTTCTAGAACATGGCCATACAGGCCAAAAAACCTACAACAACCCAATGATTCCAGCCATGAAAGTCTTCAGCAATACTACTGAAAATATATTGAGAAAGTTTTCCAAGGGCCAGGGCAATTCTAAATTGTGTTTTAAGGGATAACAGAAAGAAGAGCTTTAATGGATTTCCCCCACTATCTAGAAAAACTTGGTTTTATTGTTCCAATTGTAATTTAGGGTAGGGCTACTGGTCCATGGTAATTCATGAGTTCCCAGGAAAGAAAAAAAATGTAACTAGTGGACACATATACAGTGCTGGGGAAAAAAACTGTTGGTCTCCCATTGCAGGTAGCTTGGAAAGCACTGTTTTATGGCCCTTCCACACAAACATATAACACAGAATATCAAGGCAGAAAATCCCACAATATGCTGTGCACTGGGTTATCTGAGTCCACACTGCCATATATTCCAGTTCCAAGAAGAAAATGTGGGATTTGTGGAAGGGGCCTTAGTATACTCTGATGCCATTTTATTTGTATGGCTACAAATGTCTATTTTCAACTGCTACAGCAGAAGTGGTGATATATGAATATTTATAGTATTTTATAGTACAGACCAGTGGCTCATATCAAGCACTTTCTCCTACCCTCATGAATTTCTGGGATTTCATTCAAAGGTTTTGCTATCTGAAATCCTTTTTGTTAGGGAACCCATAGCTAAATCTAGGACCCTATGCATTCAAGGTGCATTGCAATTTCTACTATTAAAGTCAGATTGCTAGGGGCTACTATGTACTAAGTGGTCAGGAAACTGCAGCTGAAGTACAACAATAATGGGCAACGCAAAGAAGAATATCCTCATTCAACACTGCATACACAGTTGCCTCACATAATCTATGAAGTACTATAAGTAGTGGTTTAAGCACAACCAGCGAATTGATATGCACGGAGAGCAATGCATTTTTAAAAGCATGGGATGGGAAGTAGAATGCAATGATATTAAAGAGGGAGCCAGTCTGTAATGATCTTTAAAAGGAATTAACTGGGGAAATAATTTACAAGAACACTCCAAACTCATTTGCTATCTTACTTTAACTACAATATGCTTCCTGAGCAATTGGTGAATGAATTTTTTTAAAAAAAAAGCATTGTAAAATTAACTCATTTTATCAATTTGTGCTGTCTGCTAGAGTTTCCTGACAGCAGAGACAAGGAGCTGTAAAACTGATGAATCTGCATGGAAAAAGAAACCAGTGTAAGTAATTTGTGTAAAAGGTAACACGGACATGGACTGCTATAATTCAGGCACCCTGCAGATAGCAAACTGCTGCAGTGTGAGCAGTTATGGGTTAGAAAAATGACCACACTGCAGTCAGTCTGACTTGAATGGAAATCAATCATAAAGGTACACTCTGTAGCACCCACTCTACAGTTTCAGCAACTTCTTAGCCAAACATATTTGCACTTTAAAAAGCTTTTGCTTGATAAATTTTCTTTCATACCATACCTATGGGAGATGTAGTTGAAAGGATAACAATGTTCCTTTCAAACATACATTTTCACTTCCTGACTACTATAATATGTATTAACCAAATTTATTTGGGACAGAAAGTTTGGGGATAAAAATACTTCTTGATAAGTCCAGTTTATGCATGCATTATTGGGAAGTATATCTTTCAGCAGAACCATAAGATATTTAGTGGTTGGTTAGCACAGAACCACATCTATTCAGCACCAGCAATAATCTCCCCGGTTAATTCTGATAGAAAAAATGTAACAGTTTGCAGGTGCATAAAAGGGGGATGTGTATGGAATTCTACTTCTTCAGGTAGCGTTAATCAATGACACTGCCTGGAGAGAATGAGTGGATGACACTGTTGGATATTTCTGCTGAATGACATTCTGTGACATTCACCATGTACACAAGCCCATGTTCATGGCCACTTAGGATGCACCTACACTTTCACAAATAATTTGAAAGGCTGTATTCCAGAGCATCCCCAAAGCCATTTAGTGCTGAGAGCGCTTCGGGCCTCTGCTACTGCTGTTGTTTTGCCACTCAAAAACCAGCTCCCTTGCAGGGGCTTGCTAACAACATTGCTTCTGGTGAAATCACATCAGGGTACTCCATGAGATCATCAGAAGCAATGTCAACAGCAAGGCTCTGCAAGGGAGCTTGTTTTGGCTGATGAAACAGCAGCAGCAATCAAGAATGTAGGCTTGTATGCATTCCACAAGAGTGTCTTTCAGCAGAATATCCAACATTGCCATCCACTCATTCTCTCCTGGAAGAAAAATCTAGACTGTGTCAATAGTGACACAGCAATGAATTTGTTGGACATGTGGGCACTGGACCTTGCCAGATCTAGCCTAATCTAGCTGTCCACACTTCAAAAACATCAAGAGCACTCTAGAGCTTCTTGGAGCTCTGGATTAAATTCTGTTTCCCCTTATTCTGGATGCACAACTGTAAGCAGCACTTCTGCTGTGAAACCAGCAGCATGTCATGTAGATTCCCTGCAGCAGATGCAAAGCGAGTTTGCTTTATTTGGCCCATGTAGATATACTCTTGCTCTTTCCCTTATTTATTTTTATTTTATCTATTTGCAGTATTTATATACTGCCCTTCTCAACCCCAAAGGGGACTCAGGGTAGTTCACAGTGTTGGCAACAATTCCATGTCATTGATTAAAAAAAACAAACAGTAGAATGGACAACTAAACATTACCACCCTCTTCACATGTTCACCCAAAAATAATTTTCTATTTCACATCCGAGTCTGGAGGGAGGAGATTAAAACTTGATTTAATCTATAGTTTAGGGTTGCAGAAATGTGTGGCCTTCCAGGTTTTTTTCTAGGTGGTAATTTCCATCTTTTCTTACTACTAACTACATTTTCTAGGGGCAATGGGTGCTGCACTCCATCAACATGTTGCAGTCAAACAAATGTCTTGTCTTAGCTGAAGTGCTATATATTCTCTCTCCCTCCACCCCAAGTATTCATAGCATGAACTGAACTTAGGTATCAATAAAACAGTCCAAATAGTTCAAATGTAAAAGTGTTTCTCAGCATTTCCAGTAAGTGAACAAAGATCATGCTGGAGTAACCCAAGGACATTAACCTTTGTAGCAGAAGGAAAAGGAGAGGGGGGAAATCTATGGTAGAATGAAATAACTTATCCACTATATTTTGTGACTAACTAGCAATAACCAAATCTATACTCTCAGTTTCAAGTTACTGGTCAGCTGAATAATTTTTTGCAGTTAGCAGTGTAATGGAAGTGGGATGCAACAATTATATTCAGACTATGTTTAAACAATCAAGGTTTTTCTTCTAGTGCTTGGGAAAAAATATTCCCCTTTTTACTATAGTGCTGAACTACAGATATATACTCATTGTTTTGTTGGGTAAAACTCAGTCAAGGACACACAGAACAAAAATATATAGTGCAGCATTGTGTGCCCACAGTGGCAACCAAATGCTTACAAGCAACACACAAAAAGGATATAGGCATCTAGTGTGGGATATGATGTGGAAGCAGGTGTAAGGCAAGGCCTCTAGGGGGGGAATGTTGCCGTATGTAGTTTGGTGCCCTACTCCAGGTCCTTGAATAAGAAAGTTACAAAGGGAGACTAGAAAGAGCAATATTTGGATTGAATTATATTCAAAAATTCCAATCCATTAGCAGAAGAATGAACAGAGATAATGGCTTCATGGAAGTCTGCATGTGTTAATACAAGAGTCCTCACTACTACTCAGGGAAAGTTTTGAATCTCTGGTACACACATTTATTGCTTTTACATTTCAGCACTAACTGATCACTGTAAAGATCTGAAATATCTTTCGCAGCCCTTTGAAAATTTAGGACAGGGGTCATGATTTGCATTATTCTGGATCCTACTGCATTCTATCCCAGTCCCACAACTGTATAATTATTCCTTCTATCTGAGGCCTTAATACAAATGGTTACTGCATCTAAAAAAGTGGGTTTATCGCCACAAACGCTCTTGCTAAAATAGAAACCAGTTAGCCTCAAAGGTGCTGCTACATTACATTTTTTTCTACCCCCTCCTCCTTTTTAGCCATTAAACACTCTCATAACAGGTAGAATTTTGTAGCTGTCACAGAAACTGAATAAATCCCACTAAAATTATCTGTTCTTCAAAACTAAACTTTCCCTCCATTTTCCTCACAGTTACTTGTGCCAAAGAATTTATTTATTTATTTATTTATTTATTTATTTATTTATTTATTTACTTTGCTTATATATTGCTGTTCTCAGCCCAGGGGCGACTCACAGCAGTGCACAACATAGGAACCACAAAATTCAAGACACAGTATAAAACAATTCACAATCCAGCATTATACAAAAACATCGTCATTACTACGAAAACCATTCAGCGTCATCTCATCGTCC